GGGGGGGGGGAGTCCCACAGCTGTGACTCTGTGGGAGCAGATGGCCTCATCTTCCTCCCTCCGGGCAGCTGGGGGTTTTGAACCACTGACCACGCAACTAGCACAGCAGCCCACCCCACCACCTCGCAAACTCACTGCCACCGAGTCCTGGGCCAATGCACAGCACCCCTGTAACTGCTTATGGGAATCAAAAGCTCTGGTTTCCTCCCACGGAGCGGCTGGTAGTTTCGAAGTGCAGACCTTGCGGATCGCAGCCCAACATGTAACAACATCACCACCAGTGCCCCTGACGTGAGATGTGACAGACACACAGATGCGGCGGGGGTGGGGGGACCATGTGATGATGGTGAGGCAGAGAAGGGGTGATGTTTCCAAGGACCTTGGGAGCCCCCAGAACCTCAGGTGGCAGGGAGGGTGCTCGTTGTAGCCTCAGGCAGCCTCCAGCCCCTGGACCCCAGATCTGGGGAGAAAGCCCAGCTGCTGCTCCTCACTGCCCCTGCAGGCTTTCCCACAACAACCTGAGTGTGTGTGTGGGGGTGTGGGGGTGTGTGGGGGGTATCGACTCCAGACCGGCGGCCTCACACTGGGGAAGTGGACCTGGTCCCGGCCCCTGACAGCAGTGCCCACTCAGAGCCCCCTTCTAGTGCAGGGACACGCCCCCAAGGAACCCCCATCCACACACGGCCGCCCGGTGGAGGAGGGTCAGCGTGAGGCCCAGTGCAGGCAGCCAGGTGCCCCCTCTCAGGTCTCCCTGCCCTGCCTCTGCTGGCCCAGTCCCGGTCTCTCCTGGAGTCCACTCCACCCAAGTCCTCGGGTCTTGGTAGGTATCCCCACCCTCCCACTGCCCAGGGGCTGGTCCCACACCCCCACAGCACCTCCTGTGCACTCAGCTCCAGGGCACAGATCAGGCAGCACGGTCCCTTTAGGAGGCCCCGGCCCACAGAATCCAGTTCTAGAGAAATGGTCATTAACAAGCAAGGAATTCCCAAGGAGAAAGGCTCAGGGGCGTGGGAGCTGCTGCTGCCTCGCTGGGCGGGCAGGCACTCGGCACACAGGAAGGCTCAGCAAGCCCGATTCTTCCACGTCACCCGTGTCGCCCGACACTGCTCTGCGCTGTCTGTACCCGGGCTTGCTTCCTGAGGGGCACGCCATCCTTCTGGGGCGGTGTGAAGGTGGCCAGAGGCGGGGGCACTCAAAGAAGCCCTGGCTTCTTTTCGGGCTGGAGCCCAAGGAAAGGGCAGAGGAGGCGGAGCTGAGCATTGCCCCTCCCGCCCTGACCCACACACAGTCGTGGGGCTCTGTCTTCCTGCGGGGCCTCTCACCACACACACAGAGCAAGTACCTGCTGAGGATAGCGCATCGCCCTCACCCCCCGCTCTCCTCACCTCCAGCCGCGTCCGGTCCACATCTTTGGGCAGTTTCACCCGAATCCGGTTTGTGACAATGAGGGCGTCATACGGGTAGATCTGTTGAGGGGAGAAGCCGAGGTCACACTCAAACCGGGGCACTGAGCCCCAGGGAGAGGCAGGTGGGACAGGGGCACACAACAAAGGAACTTGTGACCTGGGTGGGCGGCAGGTGGAGGCCAGGTGGGCGGGTGGCCGCTTACCTTGTATTCTGAAAGAGAGAAGGGGGGTGGGGGGGAGAAAGCATGAGAGTCTTAGAGAGCACAGCCAGGGTGGGCGTGTCCCTGTCCTCCCTCGGGACCCTAGCCTGGACATGCAGTCAGCTCAGCCCAGGCACCCGTTATGTGCCCCCCTTTCCTCCAGACCTGGCCCCCACACTGAGGATGGGCCTTGAAGAGCATGGGGCCCCCTGAGAATGCTGCCTGCCACAGTTTACCCAGGTGCAGAGTGGGCAGTGCAGGCAGACCCATTGGGATGTTGGGGAGACTGACCCCCCAGCTCGCACTGTTCCTGGTTTATGAGCCTGTACGGTGCCTCCTCTCGAGCCTGCCTGGCTACAGACCAGAGGGAGCCCCTTGGCCCCAGCAACAGGGCAGAGAGACTGGGAAGTGAGCCCCTGCCACACACACACACCTAGGGCCCCAGGGAAGTGCAGGCTCCAGGCTTGGAGGGACGCCAGGGGCTGGGAGCCCCTGAGCATGGCATGGCTGCCCAGAGCAGCCAACCCTTAGTTTCCCAAGTGTGGGAGAGGGTCTAGACATGCCGGCTCCGAGCAGGGGGTGTGGATGTCCTCCTCAGATGGTGGGTTCTCCTGCCCCATGCTCAGCCGCTCCTGTGGGAATCAGCCAGCTGACACCGGGGTCCCTCCCCCAGCCCTCCAGAACTCCCCGTCGTCCTCAGGGCCTGTGCCCAGGAGAGCACCCTGCCTCCTGGAGGGTGCAGAGGGTTAGAAGCTGAGTTGCTCATCGAGATGGGCCATTGGGGTCACCTCTGCCCTGCAGGGCCACTGTGCAGGCAGCTCACTGCCCCCGGAGGCCACTCAGGGAGAGAGGGCCCTACAGGCGGGTAACCCTGGGGCCAGGGAATGGACCTGCCACGCCATGGGGACCCTCTGCTAGCAGCACCCCACCCCCATACCTCGTGTGCCCCAGCTGGAGTCCGGGTCCTCTCCGAGAGGGGCCACATTGGCATTCTGGAAGAGAGAGGGACGGTAGTGGGCAGGTGAGCAGGCATCGGGCCAGGCAGGTAAGTCCTTCCCGAGCCAGGTGCCACTCCGCCGGCTGGGACAGGAGGGTCAGCACGGGTGCTGCAGTCCCTCCTCAGCCCCGGGCATGCAGCGGCCTCTGCATCGGTCCCTCCAGGTGGTCTCACCCCCTACCTGGGGAAGCACCTTTGAGGGCCCCCCATGAGACCCCGTAGGGACATTGGGGACATGAGCCTGTCCCCTCACCCCACAGCTGCCCTGACACCCATTCGCCCAATTCTGCCAATGCAGTTGCTGCCCCATTAGCACCACCCCCAAGCCCCTCTCTGCCTCCTTTGAGGTCCCCGTCACCCAAGGACACCCCAGGGTCCCCACACCTGACTGCAGGCCCGGGCCATCAGCAGACCCTACAGGCCGGTCCCCCAGCCAGCTCTGTTCCATGGGCCTGCCACCCATGGCCCCAGCGCCTTGAAGACACCTCTTTCACCCCCGCTTGGGCGTCTTGCCCACCGCTCAGAGCTGGGCTCCACCCCATGGGGGTGGGGGTGTTACATTTCAAGGGGAGCTGCAGTGACTAGAGGTGGTGTTTGCAGCCTGAGCTCCTGTCCGACTGCCTGCCGGCTGGGCACCGACTGTGGAGGAGGATTGAGGGTCTGGGGAGGGGGGGAGGGGGGGAGGTCGCTCGAAGCTGAGCACTGAGCAGGGATGGTCTCTGGGGAGGGGGGTAGGGGGTTAGGGCGTTCGAAGTTGAGCACGGAGCAGGGATGGTCTCAGGAGCTCCCTTCCAAAGCCTTCGCCGTCAAGAGGAGAAATGAGGTGGGGGGCAGTGGGCAGAGCCAGGAGGAGGGTGGGGCGGTGCAGGGGGCTGCCCGAGGGAGTGGCTGGAGCCTGGCTCTATGTAAGGACCAGCTAGTGGGTTTATCAGGCCTTTTGGCTTAATTCGTGCTTATCTTGATAATTGGTGCTTATCTTGATAGCTGAACTCTCAGGTGCCCCCTGAAATTCCATGCCCAGGGCAAGTGTCTTGCTGCCTGGCTCAAGATCTGGGCCAAGGACCTAGGCCAGTGGTTCTCAACCTGTGGGTTGTGACTCCTTTGGGGTTGAGAACCACTGACCCCAGAGTCAGGTGCCCCCGGGCCCCCAAGAGGTCTCCTGGACTGCCCCTGCTTCAGGCATCACTCTGCCCCCCACCCACCTTGGGGTTCCCAAACGTGTTTCTTCCCCCACATTCCTCGTGCCCTGAGCAAGCAGCCGGGTGCCCCTGTGAGCATGGGCATGGGCTCCGCTCTTCGGTATGGCCAGGTTGGCTTTCCTATGGCCTGGGCACCTCTCAGCGGGGACACACTGCCCCCTAGTGCCCACGTCCCGGCATGGCGGGTGGCCACACTCCTGGCTACAAGCCCAGGTCCCGGCCCTGTCTCTGGGCCGGGGGAACCTGGGGCCCATTCTCATCTCCAAGTAAAGAGGTGATGTGAATGGTGAAGCCTTGGTTGTCTTGGAGCAGCAGGTGAGCAAGGCCAGGCCCACCTGCAGGTGAGGCACAGGAGAGGCCTGCAGGCCTGCCTGTGAAAACCCAGCTACCAAAGAGCCCCAAAGACGAGACACTGGGTAACTTTCCCCAAGAGCCAGCGAGTCCGGGCAGAGCCGGGACAGGATGTGCAGGGCTGGGCAGATCCTGAGGTAGGAGCGGACAAGGCTCCACTCGGAAGGCTGCCAGGCCCAGCCTTGTCTGCCGTCAACAAGGGACCATTTTCACAGGTAGGTCAGGGAAGCCTGCCCTCACAGTTCCCCTCATCGGCCTATCTCACCGAGTTTGCTGTCTCTGCTAGTCAGAGACCTCATGTAGCTGCCGCCGCTGCTGTAACTGTTGTCATGTTTGTTGTCATGTTTGCAACTGTGGCTCTGGCTGTGTCACCGTGACCACCGTCTCCTCACGAGACCCCCTGTCTGATCCTAGAAGAGGCATCTAATAGACCTCACCTGTGACCACCATCTCCTCAGTAGGTCCCCTGTCTGACGCTAGACGAGGCACCTAACAGGCGTTACCTGCCACACTTGAGTTGTATCCACAGTAGAGGTTACGCATTGCGCTGTGGTCCGCAGGTAGACAGTCCCAAACCACCCCCCACCACTCCCCTCCCCCGCATGTGTGTGTGGGGGGCGGCATGGGGGCAGTACTCTGCCCACAGGCACTCCCTGGAAAGTCCCACAGTGAAGGACACGGCCCAGGGTCTGGGCGGCACTGGGATCAGTGTCTGTCCACCCCCACCACCCCCTGCACTGAGGCACGAGGAGGACCCAGGGACACCCACATCTTAGAGAAACAGGCCGGTGTGCCAGTAGGAACAGAAAGACCCCCCAAAACAGGGGTCAACGCTCTTCTCCAAGCAACCCACAAACTAAAGCCTGCCCCACTGGCCCCACCTCATCTGACAACACAGCACCGGCTGCACCACGGGCCTTGCCCAGGGCCAGAACCCCGTGCTGAGCAGACAGCCCGTCCTTCTCCTGAGCAGCCCCTGGGGGCATTGATCCTCTGATCTGGGGGCTCAACCCACAGCACCCCAGGGACCGTCATCACTCATGTCAGCAATGGAAAACAGTTGGCTTTTCAGACCCTCGGGTTTAGGACCTGGGTTCTAACCACAAAGTGGGCCGTTCAAACCCACGAGCCGGTCCAGGGGAGAGAGATGAGGCTGTTGGCCCCTGTAAAGACTAACAGCGTGGGAATCCTGCACAGGGTCGTTATAGGTCACAGTGGTCTCCCTGACGGCGGTGCGGTGGTCAGCTGGTTCAGTTGAGGGTTTGAACTCAACAGCCGCCCCTAGGGAGTAAGATGAGGCAGGGGTCCTCCCGGGGGCCCAGCTGAGCCCTGGGGTGATGGACAAGAACCCCACTTTCTGGGGGAGCTCCTGGTCCCACGTCCAGAGCCATGTCTGCAGGGAGGGCTTTGTCAGGGGTCAGCTCTTGGGGCTCAGACACAGCACCCCAAAATTCAGAAACTCAGGTGGTGGGTGGGGTGGATGCCCAAACCAGACTGGGCCAAGGCCAGCCAGGGGAGGGCCTGCGTGCACCAGGCCGGGGGCAGCCTCTCTGGCCCGCCTGTTCCTCTGGACATGCACCGTGCTCTGCGGGGGGCCTCGTGAAGACTGAGGCTCCCGGCCCAGCTGTGGCCTCTCCAACCTCCTCCTGCACCCATGGGAGCTGGCACTGGTGAGAGAGATCTAAGAAGAGCACATTGAAGGCCCGTGGGCTGCCCAGTGACCGTCTCAGAATGGCAGCTGAGATGCTTCTAGAAGCAGGGGTGGGGAGATGGCCTCACGTGCTTGGACAGGCTGTCAGGGGAGAACCAGCCTGGTGACGTAGAGAGCAGTGTCCCTGGCTCTGCTCGCCTCTGCCTGCACAGAACAGAGGTGGTGACAGCCCTGGGTGGGTGGGTAGTGGGGGTCCTGTGCCCGTTGCTCTGGCTACATGGTCAGGAAGACATGCTCTTGTGCATAGGCCTTGGTGATGGTTGGTGGCACATGCTGGGCATGGAGTGGGGGTGGGGTCCCCAAGACCCCTGCTCCTGGCTGCGTGGTCAGGAAGCTGCAGAGCACCCCCTCCCCTGCCCAGGAGTGTTAGCAATGCATGCCGGGGGGCAGTACCTACCTGGTGGTCCAGGCCATTCTTCCCGTGCCGAGGGAGGGAGTCGGACTGGGAATAGAGGGACCCTGAAACAGACACAGGACGGATGGTCACGGAAGGCAGGTGGCACGCAGGAGGGGCCGAGGACAGGCCTGGAGCTGCAACGGAGGCAGGTGGGGCCTGGGGCAGGTGACGCTGGAGCAATGGAAGAGCGGGTTCCCCCTCAGCTGTGGCCCCTGGTGCTGCCTGTGGACAAGGCCTCCTGGGGGCGGAGGGGTGACCGCCTCAAACTAGACCATTGTTCAGGACTCTCCCCCCACACATACCCCCTCGGGTCCTTGTGTTCAGGGACAGACTGAGGGCCATGGCATCATCTATATCCAGTCCAAGCCCCCACCCTTTTCTGGGCAGGCCCAGAGTGTGTGTGTGTGTGGGGGGGGGGTGTTGTCATGCAGGTCACAAGGGATTCTCAGACCCTGGCCCAGACAACAGATTCCAGTCTGGGGGTCAGTGGGCTGCAGGCCACTCTGAGTGCACACTTCAGACACCCCCACCTGCTCGAGTCTGAAACCAGTGGAAGCCCCCCCTCACCCCTGCTCCTGCGACCAACGGTGCAGCTTCTGGAAACCGTTCCACACAGCGGCCACCTACTAGAGCCAAGGCTCTGCCGCGGCAGGAGGATCCTTCCCACTTCCCCTCCATGGTCACACCTGAGGGCTTTGCACACTTGTCACCCTCAGACCTTTCTCACCGCCTGCCATCCACGCTGACTGGCAGCGCCCACGGGACAGCAGAGTGGCCCGGGGCCTCCAGGAACAGGAAGCCCCGCTTTCCCCTGTGGAGCAGCTGGTGCCTCGAACTGCTGGCCTTGTGGGAAGCAGCCGGGCGTGTTCCCACTGCCCGTCAGGTCTGCCCTGAGGGGCAAGGCAGCTGAGTGGGTGGACGCCTGCCTGAGCCTTCCTCTGAGAGCACTTCCTCTCTGTGTGGCGCTTCCTCCACCTGTTCTCTATGGGTGGGCCTGCGAGCGGCCAGGTGCTCTCTCGCTGCTTTGTCTGAGGATGTGATTGTTGCCCCCCGCCCCTGCCCCTCCTGGGTCTTCCCACGGCACTGGCACGTGGCCCCTTCATCCCTCTTCCCTCTGACCTCCACTGTACCCGGGGAGAAATATGCTGTCGTTCGGAGTGGAGTCCGCCCATCCGTCCTGCGTCCTCCTGTCTGGCCGTCTCAGGATGTCTTCTTTGGTCCATCCCGACCTTGACCTTGACCATGAGGTGTCCTGGGGTCACCCCGTGGGGCTCTTCAGCTTACCAAGACGGTAGGGTCTTGTGTTTCCACCAGAGGTTCAGGCCGTGGTTCTCAAACGATGCTGCCCCACGGGTCCCTGACGGTGCCCCCACCCCAGCCCTCTTCTCCCCATCATCTCTCTTTCATTAAGATTGTATCGTTTCTACTGCTCTAGCGTCAAACTCACTGATCTTAGTCCTCCAGCTGCGCTGCTCTTGAGCCTGCGCGGTGACTTTAAAACCTCGGTGACAGTGTTTTTCAGACGTTGACATCTTGAACGCTGTGTTTGGTGACCGAACGACGACTTGTAGACTCATTCACGTTCACTTCTGTGCACGTGTGTGCACGCGCTCGCCTTCTATTTCTTTGGTGAGATTTCATGCAGCTGTTTCCCACGTGCTCCCAGGGAACTTGTGAGTCTCTGCTGGAGTGCTCTGCGGACGGCTCTTTAAACACCCTGTCCAGCAACCCCCCCAACAGCAGCTCGTGTCCAGGCTGGCGCGGCGGGCGGTCCTCAGTCAAGCTATTCTCTGTTCTCAGGACAGCGGTTGGGTTTTTAAAGGGTCGTTTTTAAAGCAGCGGGAGAGCAGGCTCTCAGGCTCCCGTCCAGACCCATCATACGGATGTCCTCTTGAGGCAGGACCGGCCAGCAGTGGGTTCTCAAGGTCCCAGGTGGTCTCCATGTACACCTGGGGCTGAGAACCACCGGCTGTAAGGTCTCTGCACATGGCATTCACAAGCTGGGAGAGAGCACTAGCCCATTTTACAGACGGGGAAGCTGAGGGTCAGGTCAAATGATTACAACCCAGAGGGACAGCCAACAGTGACCCCACCCAGTTCCCATGGTTGAGTCCTAGAGCACGCCTCCTAGGGCGGGTGGTCTTTGAGGGGTTGACATGGCCGGCCTTCAAGTGTGATTCTGAAACACCACCCCACACACCCACAGCAGGCAGGCTGGAGAAGCCCTGGGGCAGGACGAGGGCCACCCTGGGCTTCAGTGCGGTGCGGTGGGCCCAGGCCCCGTGCGTGTGCGTGTGGTGGTGGTGGGGGAGCTTGACCCCAAGCAGGGGGTCTGCTGCCTCTGGCACTGTCCCAAGAGTGGCTGGGTTACACGGACCACCCTGAGGGTCTGCGCCGATGCCAGCCTGGGGGCCCACCTGGTGACCGGCCACGATGCAGGGACAGGGGCCCTAAGCACTGAGGCTCCGAGAACCCTCCTGCAGGACAGAACCTGGGCAAAGCGTGGCCTGCAGAAGGGTGTGCGGCCCCCAAGGAGTTCAGGGGTGTCCTGAGTCCTGCTTTGCCATCCCCCAGGGCTGCGGTGGGCCGAGAGGCTCTGCCTCAGGAATCATGGTCTGCCATGGCTGTCGGTCCCCGGGCTCAGCAGAGGGACAGAGCGCAACCAGAGTGGGGACGGGGGGCGGAGGGCTGGCCATGGAGATGGGGGGCTATCAAGTCCGAGCGCCCCTCCAGAGAGCAAGCCCTTCAGAACCCCCTTCCGAGCAGCGTGGGCTCACATCTTCTTGTTCACTACACAGTAGCCCTGGAGTGGCTCCCAGATCACCACAGACGCCGCCATGCATACTCCCCGTCCCTCATCGGGGCTGACCAGAGGGACGGCATGTACAATATGGCTAAATGCCGGCCGGCCTCTCGGTTATTCTTCTGTTTGAGCCCTGGGGGCAGCACTGCGTGAGTCCATCCATCTCACCCGGGGCCTCCCTCTCCTGCACCGTCCCTCCACTTGACCAAGTCCGGTATCCTTCTCCAGAGACTGGTCTCTCCTGGCCACAGGAGACTGCGTCCCACCATCCTTGCCCCTAGGGAGCCAGCCCCTGGCCAGACTTCTTCCTACGCAGTTTGGCCTGTCCTTGGGGCTGTCCACAGAACTTCGATGTGCTTCTCCAGCAGGTCAGACGCATCGGTTCTTCTGTGGCCTCCTTATCCAGTACCCACCTGTCCCCTGCAGAGGACGCAGTAAGAAGGCCAGGGCTGGGCCAGGCGCACCTTCGTCCTCAAAGTAAGCTCCCCGGCTCCACAGCAGCACATGGACTGGGCCCGAGGAAGGGCCTGTATCTTCGGGAGACGTGAGTCCCTTCAAGAAACCACAGGGTCCTCTGGCCACACCCGGGGCTGCCAACGGGTTTTATTAGTCTAGCACGCCTCTGACAGTCCAGGGAGGGTCACCGAGAGAGAGGACAGGACCGGGAGGGCCTGAACCATGAGGCGCAGAGCCGCTGGCCTCTCTCCAGGTCCAGGTGGGACAGACCACCTGGCACACGTCCCCTGGGGGCAGCAGTGAGCCCAGGTCCTGCCTCTTCTTACCACAGAAACCATCAGCCCCACCCCCATCTCCCGAGTGGAGAGGGGAGTCCCTTCTACCACCTGGTGCACACACCATGCAAACCACGCCCACCGATGCCAGGCGGGGGAGAGAAAGGACAGTGGGATGCAGCAGACACTGCTGGTCTGAGAATATTTCTCCCCGGGAGGCCCTGCCCGGCTGAGAACCACCGGGACGTGTGTAGACAGCCGTACTGCTTGGGTCGTCTGGCTCCCCTGCTGGGAGCTAGAGACTGAACCCCACCCATCAGGGCCTGTCACCCACCTAAAGCCCTGCCCAGCACCAGCCGATGCTCAATAGCTGTGGCGGAGGAACGGATGGATGATCAAGCGAGGCGCTCAGACCTGGTGAGATGTGCTGAAGGTGTCATGAGCGGAGTGAGGCTGGTGCCACAGGTGGGGGCACCAGACTGGCGCTGTGACAGGACCCTCGGCGAGGCCCAGCAGGGTCCAGAGGCTCTGCCCTGCTGTAGGTCCAGGGGAAAGTGTGGACAGGCAGGGAGATGGCAGATGATGCCCCTGAGTTCACTGCTCCCAGCACCTCTGCCTGCCTTCCCACGAGCTACCCTTATGGTGTGGCCACAGGATGACATCACCAGGTGCAGTGAGTGGGGGCACCTCCACCTGTTCTGCTTCTCAGCAATGTCGAACACGTCACACTGAGAGCTTCCATGGTCGGCCCTCCCACGGGGAAGAGGGTCAGCTTCTGCCGGTGAGCACATCATGGGACTGCCACGGAGGGAAGGGCAGGCGAGGGAGAGGGGGGGTCTGTTTCCTGAGTATCACTACTGGCCAGGCCGGGCACCAGGGTGTGGAGCTGAGCTCCCCACTCTGAGACAACAAATGTCTCAACCAGGCCCCCAGCCCCCCTCACCGGCCGGCCAGCAGGAACACAGCTGGTCTGTCCCCTGTGTCCAGCCCCTCGGCGCCCTGACCCCCAGCTAAGCCTCCAGTTTTGCCCACAGATGGTCCCCCATGTGCCACCGAGATGGGCAAGCCCACGTGCAGGAGAAGCTGTGCTACCGAGTTCTGGGCGGTCAGTAACGGCGCCAACCCTTCATCACATCTGGAAACACACAGGGTACCTGGCCGTCCGCCCTCCCCCACCTGACAGCGGCGACCTCAGTGTTCCAGCGCCCGCCCCGCCCGGCGGCGGGAGGCGGGCAAGAAACTGGCTTTCTCCCTGCTGAGGCCCCGCCTGCCTGCCCGAGGGAGGGAGCTGAGGCTCCAGGTCTGGCAAGGCTCTGGGGGACCGGCCGGCCAGAGGAGAGTAGCGAGAGGCCCTGTGGGCTGAGGTGGGCCCAGGCTCCAGCCGGGTGTGTTGTCCCCGTGTCGCCCATCCCCTCGCTCGCTTGCTCGCTCGCTGGGGTGGTGGGGTCGTTCGGACTGGACCTGGGGCTCTGTGTTCATGAGAACCACTCACGTGAGCAGAGGCTGAGGCTCGGTGCATTCTGGGTCAGGTCTCTGTCCGGCCCACTGCTGAGGGACAAGGAGCAGCTGTCCAGGTCTGGGGAGTTCGTCCTGGTGTCTGTGTCCCCCCTGAGGATCATCCAGCTGGCCTTCTGCAAAGGAGACACACGTGCTCAGTGATTCAGAGGTCCTGCCAGGGGGCACCGCCCAGCCCTGCCCAGCTAGACCACAAGCTGGCCCGAGGTAGAGAGCCCACTGTGCATCGAGTGAGTGGGTGTCCCTGGGATCCGAGGGGGGGGGGTGCCACCCTGCTTTACTGAGGCCCGAGGGGGTAGTCAAAGTGAGGTCAGCAGAATGCTGGCCCCCTGCCTGCCTGCTCCCCTCAGAGACCAGAGAACTCACTCGCTCCCTCCCTTAGTGCCTCCCGGCTGATACCGACCGACAGTGACCCAGTGGGACAGGGCAGAACTGCCGGGGGTGGGTGGGGGGTGTTCCAGGACTGTCGGTCCTTATGAGAGTAGAAAGCCCTGTCTTTCTCCCAAAGAGCCGTTGGTGGTTGTGAACTGCTGACCTTGCGGTGAGCAGCCCAAAGTGAGCAAGCCCTAGGGAGCCCGGATCTGCTTCGCTGCCACTCCCAGCCCCCGCGCGAGGCGCTGTGACCCCTGTGACGGGCTGGGATCACAGGGCTCTCTGGCGGCTGGTTTTCAGGAGGGGTCTCCGCCTTTCTCCCTAGTCCCTCTGGTCCTGAAGCTCATAGACAGGTGGCAGCTTTGAGCCAGGAGCCTGGGCAGGACCAGAGGCCAGAGCCCCCCCACCTGCCCAGCCCCTCGTAGCTGTCAGGAAGCAGCCCTGGACACAGCGTGTTCACACAGACGTGAACCTGTGCCAGTTACTGGACAGGGGTCACATCCTAGGTAGCTTTGCTTTCCAGAACAGGGGTGTCCTGGCATGGCGGGCAAGCCCTCAAGCCCTCTCTGGAATGCCACAAGTTCAAATCCGCCTGCAGGCACGTAAGAAGACAAGTCTGTCTGTCCAGTTCTGAACAACCAGCCATTGAGAATCCATAGGGCGGAGTTCTGTCCTGGCCCACCGGGACAGGTGGGGGCCCATGTGAGTCTGAGCTGGCTGGCTGCAGCTGTTCAGTGGGGCAGGGTGGCTCTGGGGAGAATCCCCATCTTCCATGCAGCACAGAGACCCGGTCTGCCCCCAGCCAGGGCTCTTCATGCACAGCCACTGACTGCCTGCCTGTGGGTGTCCATGTGGCTGTGAAGAGGTCTCAGTGGGGCAGAGCAGGGGGGACAGCGTGGTGGCTGACCGCAGCCGCCAAGTCCCCTGAGGGGCACAGCTCTCCTCAGACACTCGGAGTCGCTGTGTGTCTGATTAAAGGCAACTGACTGTCACTGTTCCTAGAACAGGCATCATGAGCCCTGGGTGTCAACACATGGAGCAGGTGCTGCAGGTGATGAAGGCTGTGGCCATGGTCAAGTAAGAAAGCCGAGGGATGGAGGGTGGGTGGATGATGGATGGAGGAGAGATGGGTGTGGTCAACGGATGGATGGGCAGTGAGCAGAGGAATAATAGGTGGAAGGTGGGTGGGTGGGTGGATGGATGGATGGATGGATGGATGGATG